CCGTCGGCTGTTCCCGCCGTTTCTTCTTAGCGTCGTCGTTTTGATATACCAATCGGCCTATTTTGGTCTTTAGTGCCATCCTTCTCGCCGACGTTTTGCTTTTTTTTTTTATTGTTTTTTTCTTTCTCTGTCACCTTCCGTTTTGTTTTATTTGTTTTGTTTTGTTTTTCTGTGTTGTCTCTTTTCTTTCCTTGGCTTGTTTTGTTTTGGACGCTGGGGCAACGCCGCCTCAAGACACGNGGTCGCACTCCGCTCCTTGCTGACTCCTTACCGTCGGCTGTTCCCGCCGTTTCTTCTTAGCGTCGTCGTTTTGATATACCAATCGGCCTATTTTGGTCTTTAGTGCCATCCTTCTCGCCGACGTTTTGCTTTTTTTTTTTATTGTTTTTTTCTTTCTCTGTCACCTTCCGTTTTGTTTTATTTGTTTTGTTTTGTTTTTCTGTGTTGTCTCTTTTCTTTCCTTGGCTTGTTTTGTTTTGGACGCTGGGGCAACGCCGCCTCAAGACACGTAGTGTCGAGTGATCCTTCTTCCTTGTTGCCTGCATTGATCTGAATCAGTGAACTGCCGCGACCTGGATGTCCGTTCTCTCTCGCCTTTGCTTCAATTTTTTTTTGTTGTTGTTGGTCTTTGGTTCTCTCAACAAGCTCCCTCCGAAGTTTCGTCGGTGTTGTCTGCCTCTGAACACTTGGAAAAAGAGTTCCCCAAGTTTAGTCGGTGATGTTTGCCTCGGGACACTTGGACACCGAGTTCCCCGCGTTTCCTGGTTCGCCTGTTTGCCAACTAATTTTGTCTTAGTTGTTTTTGTTTTTGTTCCATCGTACCGCAGAAGTGTCGCATACGCTTGGTGCTTCGGGATTCCATCCCGTGGCGTCGCCTTCTCCCATGGATTTTCGTCGTCACCCACACTTCGTTCTGCTTCGTCTCCATCATCGCCACCTTCGGGCGACGCCTTCATCACAGTAGCGCCCCTGAGTTGTTGTTAAGGAGGACCCGATTCGCAGGGTATCCGTCGATTGACTTTTACCTGAATCGGTACACCTTCGCATATGGCGTCAGCGGCAGGATACTGGTTCGAATCTCCTTGGGTGCACATTTTTTCTCCTGACTTGGATATTTTCCCATGGACACAATGTGTGTCAGTCCTGAGAACACCTCTTGGGGTCGATCCTAGAAAGAACCTTGTTACGCTTTCATCGAATTACCCATCCTGGCCACAAGAGGTTCCCAGTTGAGGGTAAATTCTGTGGGTGGAGAGTGTTAAGGAGGATCCGATTCGCAGGGTACCGTCGATTGACTTTAACCTGAATCGGTACACCTTCGCATAACATCGTCGTCTTGTTGTGTGAATCTCTACGGCTTCCTGTGTTTTATGTCTCGGAATGATGCGTATCGCCAGCGAGCCATGGCAGGCACAGTTCGTCGACCGCCTCCCTTGCATTAATCGCTTGTGCGTTGCATCCTTGGTCGTCAATAGGTCTTGCCCCTGCCGTCTCCCTATTCGAGTTGGGTACCCTGGCACGTTGGCCATTGTTCTCCTTGCCTTTGCCTGTCGTCCTTTTCTCCTGCCCTTCGTTAACGTCCTAGGTTGCGTTGAGTTTCCCCTTTGCGTCGCGTCCAGTATTAAAGGCCGTATTCGTTCGGAAATTTGTTTGGGTTTTGAGTTTCGTCACCATATTTTGGACTCGCTCGGGTAGTCACCCTCATTCCTCCAGCGGTGATACGCGCGGGTGCGCAGAAAAGAGTGGTGTGTGGCGTCTGGATATTGATTTTTTTTCCCTGTCGTCGTCTGTTCAGGATGATAGCGTGCTGTGCCGCAATATATATTCTTCGTAGCTTGATCCCTTCAAGCGTTGTCATTGAGATGTCGATGTTCCGTCTCGTGACCGTTCGCATTCTTCATCTCAATGATGGTGTGGGGGATTGATTCGGGATGTTTCTACAGCTCACCCTCCTCTTGGATGTTTTGTGAAGAGCCATATCTTCGATTCATGATCATAAATCATCAGCTAAAATCTTTATTATGCTTTTGACTAGGAATTGAGCATTGATTTGAGTATAGAATCTGCATATGTGATATTCAGGGTGGGCTAGTGTTGAGGAGTGTGGCTGCTAGCATGACTAGGGCACATCTTATTCTTGATAGGATGCGGGTCGGTCAGGAGGTATACCCTTCTGACCCCTACCCCCTTAGAATTGTCTACTCTGTGTACCCCCTGAGATGAA